TTGACTGCCTTCCCGATCTAAATTTTAGCTGACATTTGGTATGGATAAACTAGACTTGATGAGGAACATGCTCAAAAACTTTCATAAAAAAAAATCCACCGGGAACCGCCTCAAACGGCGGTGTTCAGACGGCGTTCAGACCGGGAGGTGCTGGACTTGAGAATTTTCCTACCTATATATATATATATATATATATATATAGGGTCGGGTTCTAATGAGAAGACATCTTAACGTGAGAAGTGAGAAGTTACACATTTACCTATTTCTGATGCACTTTTTTGCTAATCTTATGCATTTTTTTGCGATGGCAGAAAAGTTTCGATTAATTACGGAAATGACACCGCGTCTAGCATCACTTTTTTAATATTTTTTGCACTTTCCCGTGCACTTTTTTGCTAATCTGATGCACAGATCTTAAAATGAACGCACCAGATGCATTCTCACTTCTTACGATAAGCACTCTTCTCATTTGATCCTTATTCTATATATATATATATATATATATATATATATATATATATATATAGAAGTTCTCAAACTCATTTATAAATGAATAAGAAATTGTTTTCCGAACTTGCCAAAAAACTAGTTACAAAAAATACTTTTTCCCACGCCGGAAAATGGAGACTTAAGGAAGTGCATTTTTATAAGTTTTCCTTAGCTATTGGGTTGCGCCCTTGGGGCACCGAAGTTTTGTTCTGCGATGAGACCCATATACGGTGAGCGTGGAATTAACTATTCATGCACGCACGCCGCTGCCGTTCAGCCGGAAAGGTCGGGTCGGGGTTTTTGACCGGATAACTTCGGGTGTTTAACAGTTCACGTGTCTAACGGCTAGAGATTATTTTTGCTATACTTTTACGGATAAACCATTAAACAGAAAAGACAACCTTTCTCTTTGAAAGAAAGGTCATGACCTTTCTTTTCAAGAGATGTCTTTTAGGTTATAGAATCATAGTCAGAGCTCTATAAATATCCAATCGGTCTCCCATTTCGGACCATCCGAAATTAAATACAAATCTTCCATATTTATGTACTCTTAATTCGTTGCATCTTTTAGTTCAATTCACCGGAGTCCTATTGGGAACGAAGAACCGCTCTATTCTGGAAGACGTTTGCTACGTCTGCCAGGCAAAATGTCTTAAGGAAACAATATTTACGTGGAGCTCAGTTTCAAGTAATTTCACATTTTTCCTTAATTAATTAATGGGAGAACTATCAAATAAGCCCTCGAACTTACATAAAATGTGCAAATCAGCCCTTTTATAGGATGCTCTGTTCGGCCGTCAACATTTGGAGCGGTTTACGGTGGATTTTTTTGATGAAAATTTTTGAGCATCTTATTCATTAAGTCTAGGTTACTCATACCAAATTTAAGCTAAAAATTCAATTGGGAAGGAAATCAAATGAATTTTTGAAGATAACTGCGCAGTTATAGCGTTGTATATTTCCAGAAAATCATTTGACTGCCTTATAGGTTGAATTTTTAACTGAAATTTAGTATGGGTAAACTAGACTTAATGAAGAAGATGCTAAAAAAATTCATCAAAAAATTCCACAGGAAACCGCCCCAAATAGCGACGGCCGGACAGAGCCTTCTATAAAAGGGCTGATTTTGCACTTTTTATGTAAGTTTGAGGGCTTTGTTGATAGTTCTCCCTTAATTAATTGTTATTTCATTTGCATGTAAATTTTAGTGCACACATTTAACAAATAGGTCCTTTTGGTTAATTAGCTTTCTCAAACAAAATGAAAAGTTGTGTTCCATTGCTCCGATGGTAAGCTATTAGATTAAAAATTGCAAACAAATCCTCCAAATTAACCATTGGAGATGTTCTAACATGTTGACTAAAGTTTGCCACTAAATAAGTCAATAGATACATAGGGTGGGTAAAAGAGTCCACTTTGTTGCGATCCTCATATGATCAAAAGTGAGATTCATTTCTAAGTTTTATTGGCTTTTAAAATGTTAAAAATTTTGTTCATAACTTCATATACACTATAGAAGTGTGAATATATTTTATTTAGAAATGAAGACTTTTTTTTAACTTTTTTTTACTATGAGACATCTCTAACATACTCAAATAGTGTATGGCCCCATCTAAATGAGACAAGATAAGGAAAATAATGTATCATGCATCGTCTCGTGCTGTAATTATTTGGGTCCCCCAAGACCGACCGGACCGGACAGTCTCTCATGATCCTCCAAGGTTGCAACTTCTCATATCAGCACAAGTTGGATGAGATAATGTAATCTGGACTTTAATCACGAGTTGGCAGATAGAAAGTGGGGCTTTGGCTCTAGTACTTGCAGAGGCCTATGCATTTTAGCATAGTAACCTCTCATCGCAGTTGACGAGATTCGAATCCAAGACTTACCTCTTGTGGAACCTCTTTCTACCGGTTGAGCTACGCCCTTTGGATTCTATTTGAGTGTCTAGTCATAGCTTTCCTAAAATTCTATAAACCTCAATTTTTAAACCAACGATAATTATTACTCAAAATTGGAAGTTATTATAACATCATAATTAAAGTTTTATCAATTGTATATAAAATTATCTGTAAAATGAATACATTTATTCTTTGTAGAAATAGAGTGGATATATAGATTTGTTGGCGGATAGTAGATACTGGATACTGGATAAGTGGATAACATAATAAGCGTGAGATATTAACTAAAAGAGAATATTATCCGAAATAGGAATAAAAAGGTTTGAAAATTCTAAAATAGGATTGCAATATTTTTATTCCCAAAATAGAATTAATTAATGTCATGTTTTGGCAGTAACAAACTTCAAACATGGCCATATTTTCTAAACTTCGCAGTAATTACTTTTTTTAGTATAAAAAACATGACAGTAATATTTTGAAATTTTCAAATTTTTAATTCTGGAGAGTTGACCTAACTATCTAACTTGGAAAAGTACCTTTCTTCCTTTCCTTGCGGGAAGCAGCGGTTCGTAGTCCTCAACAAGAGAGTTGACATAAACCACCTGATGTGAAGGGTAATGTTAGCAAGCAGCAGATGCCTCAAGCTTCTGGAGAAATGCCAGAATGTGAAGCAACTGAGGCAAGCTCATGGCCAAATCTTCACAAGTGGGCTTGCCCACAACACCTATGCTCTCAGCAGGCTTTTAGCCTTCTTCTGCTCACACCCCAATCTCGACGGAAGCGCCACCACCACAACCTCCTATGCATTGAAAATCTTCGACAGAATTCAAGAACCCACAATCTGCATTGTCAATACCATGATCAAAGCTTTCTTTCTCAAGGGTGAGCTGACCAGAAGTGTGGAAATGTACAAACACATGCTGAAAATAGGGATGTGCCCGGATAACTACAGCCTCCCTTATCTCGTGAAAGCTTGTGCTGATATGAGAAGTTGCAACCTTGGAGGATCAATTCACGGGCATTGCTTAAAACTGGGATTCCTAGTCGACAGCTATGTTGGGAATGGTCTGATTGCTATGTACTCTGTTCTTGGTAAAATGGAATCTGCAAGATACGTGTTTGATGAAATGCCTAGCCATTGTGTGGTGGCTTGGACAGTTCTGGTTTCTGGGTTCTCAAGAAAAGGTAAAGTTTTTGAAGCAAGATCGGTTTTTGATGAGACGCCAGTGAAAGATAGAGGAATATGGGGGGCCATGATATCTGGGTATGTACACAACAACTGTTTCAAAGAAGGGTTGGAGTTGTTTAGGCTAATGCAGATGACCGGGGTTGAGCCTGATGAGATGATTCTGGTCAGCATACTCTCAGCTTGTGCCCACCTGGGTTCAATTGACATTGGCAAATGGGTGCACAGATATTTGGAAAAGTTGGCCATTCCCATGAATGTGAGATTAGGCACTGCTCTTGTTGATATGTATGCAAAATGTGGATGTTTGGATTTAGCTCAGAAACAGTTCGATGAAATGCCTGACAGAGATGTTATTAGTTGGAATGCCATGATTTATGGATTTGCAATGAATGGGAATGGTGAAGAGGGAATAAGATTATTCCAAGAGATGCAAAATAGTAGTACACGACCAGATGACATTACCTTCATTTCCTTGTTAACTGCTTGTCGTAGTTGTTGTTCGGGTAGTATGGCAAGGGAAGGTCTAAAGTTACTCAACATAATGTGTAATAAATATAAGATCCAGCCTAAAGGGGAACACTATGGTTGTATGATAGACCTCTTTAGTAGAGAGGGACTTCTTGAAGAAGCAAGAAGTCTAGTTCTTAGCATGCCCAAGACAGAAGAAGAGGCTGCTGTGGCATGGAGAGCATTGTTAAGTGCTTGTGTCAATCATGGAGAGGTTCATTTGGCCGAGGTAGCTGCAGAGAAGGTCGTACAGTTGGAACAACACAGCGGAGCTTATGTTTTGCTTTCGAACCTTTATGATGCAGCAGGCAAACACGACGGTGCAAAGAGGGTGAGGAAGATGATGCTGAAGGAACGTATAGACAAGATTCCAGGCTGCAGTTCTGTGGAGATTAATGGTGTGGTTCATGAGTTTGTTGCTGGTGAGAAACCACACCCCACATTTGGATGAAGTTCATGGTTTGAAACAGGTCAGTCTCTATCCAGTTCCGGCCCCACTTTATGTAGGAACCAGAAGTCCGGAACTGGTACTATTGGTCCGGTTGTGAATCCAGTAGAACTTATGGTTCCGGATCCGGCTCTAGTTCAGCTTCTACCCAACTTTGTATCTTACAAAAAAATGAAACCCACCAGCCCGGTTTTGTTTTGGAGGAACCAAAAGCAGAGCAAATAACCATTACTGGTGCCATACAGATGTGGGAGTAATCAGCCAGATCGCTTTCCGTTCACAAACTTGTCAATCTCTCTCCTGGTTATTAAATACACTGGATTTCTAAATTTATCTGAAAGTTAAATAGATAAAGTTATTTAAAAATAGTGGAATTGCATATGATGGCATACTAATTTGAAGAAATACATATAATCATTCATTTAATCATACAAATGTTCGCAAACTAATTTGATAAATTTCAGGTAAATGAAATGATTAAAAATTTAAAGATTAAAGATGGCGAATCTGGGAAAAAATCAATTAGGTATATGACTGAAATCAAACGTGACAAGTGATTTTACATTAAAGAATAGGAATGCTGAACGGCTAAATGTACCAAAATTATTTTCTACATCGTGTAATTCTAGAATGAAGTAAATATCACCACTCAGGCATTCATCACTTCAATATTGCAAAGGCGTCCAATTTCTAACGTCCAATTTCAAACCAGAAAGATTTATTGATTTCTAAAATATGAACTCGGAGTCTGAAAGCTCCAGGACTTTGTGGACGCCAATGGGATTTACACCAGACCGGAACGTGTTTCCTTCTATGTACCTGAGAAAATAAATGAATTCCCTAGATTAGAAACGGTTCCAAAAAACAAACCTGAAATTAATCAGTAAAGTTAACTCACAGTTCTTTTAAGAAGGGATGTTTATAGAACGCATCAGGAATTCTTCCTGAGAACTGATTGTGGTCCAAATACCTGAATGACACATACAACAACAAAAAGAAATATCTCACACATGTCAAGTGATGAGCATTGAGCTGAAATGCCAAATATCGATAATCCGCTCTTATGAGCATTGAGTGTTTGAGTAAAAAGAATCCATTTAGAGAGAATTATTGACACTGATGCCTCTTTTAAAAAGCATATCCTTCAAAGCATCCATAAACTCATTAGGGTTTCTGATCCAGAAAAGTTGATTAGGGAAAGTTGCACTTTGTCTCCCAATTATTATCTACATAATTTGTTATGTGGTACCCATCTTTAGTATGTGTTAATTTTAGTCCCTGGGTCGTTAACTCGTTACTATTGACATAGAACTATGTCATCCTATTAAATGATAATTGCCTTTTAGTGTTAGTTTATGGGGTCATTCCTAGAAACATAGAATGCCAAAAATACCCCCATAGTATTTAACATGGTAAACAGTTACTTTGAAGGGATGAACTGATTGTATCTAACACAGCATTTGATGGACGAAATTTACAAAAATGATGGGCATAACAAAAGACAGGCTACATATTGCACACTGTCATTAAATTGGGGGAGTAGAAGAACGGATTTTCCTTAAAATAGAGTAAATGCAGTAAAACACTTACAAATATGTTAACCTAGGAATACGACCAATGGTTGGTGGTATAATTCCAGTCATCCTGTTATATGATAGATACCTGTTTTCATACATGACAATAAAATGTCAGATGCTAAAATCTAAATATAGCTGGAAAAAAACTTGTAACTCACCATGCTTCTTGAATACAAACTACAGTTGATGCATAAACATGAGATACTTACAAAATCTCCAAGTTAGTCAGATTTGCAAGTTGTGAAGGAAGGCCTCCAGTAATATAATTATTGTTCAAATAACTGCAGTGAATGTAAAACACGATATCATGTTAGCCAAAATCAAAATTATAAAACCAGCCAATTGAAATCAGATTTCAAAAGTTTTTTGTTCTGAAAATCTGATTTCTTAAAATGGAGCTAATCTTTCATGTCATTCATTTTATTTTGAAAAAAAAAACAAGCTCAACATGATAAATTAAGTGTGACCTAAAAAAGATTATAACTATAGTATAGTATAATTACTTGTAAGAGTAGTACCTTGCAAAATTAAAAAAAAAACTTGTACCTTTTGCCCAAACATTACATTTTTAATAGGGAGTATCATATGTGGGCATAATTTGGCAGCCGCAACTTAAATAAACTTACAGGTTACGAAGAGCTGGAAAGCATCCTTCAATGCGTATGAGTTCCCGAATTGTCCCCACCAGGCGATTGTTACCAACATCCCTATAGTTAGTTTAGAACAGAATTACCAGGTAATTGAATAATCAACAAAGTTCAAGAACAAAATACACACTGTAAAATAACAAAGGGAGGGAGCTGATGTAGAGTCTTACAAATGCCTAAGGTTTTGTAAAGTGCCCAGCTCAGGTGGAATTCTTCCCACGAAATGGTTTTCGTGAAGATGAAGATAGCGAAGCTCAGGAAGATTAGCAATTTCCTTGGGGATCTCACCCTTAAAATTATTGAAACTCAGGTAGCTGAAGAAGTCCCACAAGTGATATTAATTTAAAGTGACATAGTATAATATGGCCTCGAAACAATCAGTTATTTGTTGACAGTGCCAAAATACATACTCCCTCCGTCCCGTATTTAAGTTCCTACTTTCCTTTTTTGGATGTCCCAAACAAGTTCACACTTCCTTATTTGGCAATCAAATCGACACCAAAATGGTGCCAAAAAGTGTCAAACAATGTCAGTGTCACAACATTGTACTCTACAGTAAAATACCCCTCAGTAAATTTATTTTCTTAATATGTGTGAAGTCAAACCAGGAACTTAATTAAGAACTGGAGGGAGTATAAGTTTCACAGAACCAGATACCTTAAAACAGTATATAACTTACAGATGTGTTAACTTCTTTAGTTCACCTATTTCAGGAGGAATGATATCTTGCAACTTATTCCACCTTAAGTTACTGGAAGAAAATGAAGTAAAATAAAAAGAAGAAGATTAGAGGTTCCCTTGCATTTTTATAATTTCGTATTTCGAAGAAGTCAAATACGAAGTACTTCAGTAAGTAGTTAGAATCCCTAAATAGGTATAATCTTTTTGTGGCATTTTTAATAAATACATAAGGTCATGATGAACTATGTCATTCTTCACAGAATATATTCTCACAAAGATATTCAATAAAGAAGCAAGATGCTGATGTAGTGTACTCAAAGCCAGAGAGTTTACAGCTATAAAGCTAAATCACATAATGCACAATAAACCACAACATTTAGAGACTTTAAGAAGACATATGCAAAACAGCATACAGTATTTTAAGACGTCTCAATCGCCCAATCTGAGGAGGAATAGGACCAGTCAACTTGTTATTATGAAAATCCCTGTCATTCAAAAAGATAAGAGCTTTAGTTTAATAAATAACATAGAAATGGTGCAAATATGTGTGTAAGGGTTCGCTCAACAAATTCGCTCAATACTATAGAGTTCTCATGCTGCTTAGCAATAACCATTAACAAGCATAAATAAGGATTATGAAAGAAATCTTACAGCCTGGTGAGATCCAACAAGTTTGTTACAGCTGTGGGAAAAGGACCTACTATTGAAACAGCATAGACTTCCCTGCAAGGTTCAAAAAAGGAAACTAATGTTAAACTGAAGTATAAAGACATAGTTAAAAAGCACAGTAGTGTAAAAATTTCAGCATACGACACAAACTGGAACAACTTACAATTCAGTGACAACTCGATAATCACCCTCAGTGGAGCATGTTACCCCTGTCCAAGGAGGTAATTCACCGTCTCCGCATGGATCATCTCCAACCCAAGCATACACCACCCTCCATCCCAGAGATGCTTTGATTTCATTCAAAGCTTTCACTACATCCACAGACCAAACAAGATCAGTCCACTATAACAAAACTATTTCCCTTTTCTAAAAAGAAAAACTTTATCAACACCATTCACCACAAATACATTCAAAGCGGAGAGATATGCATTGAAACTCAGTTAGCTTTATTTAAGAGCATAATACTAATATTCATTCCCAATAAATTCTGTTTAACCATCAAAAGATATTATCCCCTTCGTCCCATAAGATTGTAATCTTTCCTTTTTGGTCCGTCCCACTAAAATTGTGGAATACCAAATTTGATAAAGTTTGTGCGGTTCTAAATCATTCTTACTTTATTCTTACTTTATTAATTCAATATCAACCACATAAACTCATTTTTCTTAATAATTGCACCACCTCTAGACATAACTAGATGTAGAATTTTAAATTCATACAATCAATTAGAAATTCCAATGATTTATTATATCCATTAAATACTCTCTCTCATCAATTATTTATTCCTGAAGATTACTGCCTCAGAACGAATTCGGGAATTCAGCAACGAATTATGAATCATCAAAACAGTGTAAGAGAAACAAACAAATAAAAATAGAACAAAACTTCGAGACTAATAAAAGAAAGTATTACTGAAACGCAGTAGATACTCACTAACCTTAGCTAACTACTTGTTTGAAATATAAAAGGGTTTCAGCGGATCAACAGAAGTGGATAAAGGGAGGGGCATAAGGGGGGTGGGAAATTACCGTCACGCTTGAGGGTTTTAGAGTGAACGGCGACATTTAGGAGAAGCGAGAGCAAGAAGACTAGGAGAATTGTTGAACCACGACCCATCATTGGACTCACTGAGTCGATCCTTCCGCGTGAAATCAGTCTTCTGGCACTTACATTGAAGATCACAGGGCAAGCGAGATCTCAATCAAGTGACCAATGATATATTTCATGTGACGGATCAAACGCTGGTCAGGCTGGGGTGAGACGAGCAATTAGTGTCCTATAAAGTACCGTCTTTTTACTTAAAATTGTTAATAATTTTTTAACAATTATTTTCAAATTACTTTCTTGTTACACGTGCACCCTTTGTTATTTTTTATTTCTTATTTTCTTAAAATTGTTAATAATTTTTTTATTTTTAATCTGATTTTTATACAATTTATATCAAAATTTTTTATTTTTCATGATCTTTCAAATGAGACCAATATTGCATATGTAATTTTAATTTTTTACATTCATACATTTTTTTGTAATATTTTTTTATATGCACACTTTTTCTGTAATATATTTTTTTATAACTTTATATGTTTTAGAGGTTTTTAAGATATTGAGTTTGTTTATTTTGCTTCTAGCTTGGAGTTACATTTGATAATATATGAAGTTACATCATCTTATACTCCAGTTACAAGTTATTATGTGTGAGTTACATCTTGTTATATGTGAGTTACATCTTGTTATGTGTGAGTTACATCTTGCTATACACAAGTTACATACTTTTATGCGAGAGTTACATGTAATTATGTGTGAGTTACATCTTGTTATACACGAGTTACATACTTTTATGCGCGAGTTACATGTAATTATGTGTGAGTTATATCTAATTATTTGTGATTTTTTACTTATCTTTATCTTGAACTAATTCAATTATAACTGAATTAATTTTTTTCTTTGCCAATTTAATACAAAATTTTATTAATCCACATAAAAAAAGTATATTGTATTTCATATTCATACACTATTTTTCAAATGATAAAAATGAAAGATGTAGCAGGGGTTTATTTCATGGTGTAACTCACATACATTAAGATGTAACTCGTGTATATTAAGATGTAACTCGCGTACAATAAGATGTAACTCGCGCAGAAGAAGATGTAACTTCATGATATATTATCAAATGTAACTTCAAAATAATTTGTTAAAATTACATAAGCAATATTGATCTCATTTGATAGATCATGAAAAATAAAAAAAATTGATATAAAATTTATAAAAATCGGATATCAAATAAAAAAGTTATTACAATTTTTAACAATAAAAGAAAAAAAAGTGAATGTTGCGTCGTTTTGGGATCAGACGCACCATCCTCATGATGCGCCGATCCCAGGGTATAAATTGCGATAAAGTAGGTGGATTTGTTTTCATGATGAGTTGGACCTGGGATACACACTTTCGTACAGACAAAAAAAACCTTACACAGACATGTGTAAAAATTGTGTACACAGAAAGGTATGTACCTTTAGAATTTTTCTGTTTTCATTTTGAGCCCTTGTTTCGAATACAATTATGTTCACAAACTCCCCTCCTTGTCTGCTACACAAGATGTCAATTAGTCTGTACTAACTCCCTAACATTTTTATTTTATTTTATTTTATTTTATTTACTCCAGGGGCATCTGGCGGAGGGAGACTGGCGGCTAGAGTAATCAGGGCTGAAACTCACTCCATTGAGTTTCAAACCCTTATGTGTCTAGCAGGTTTCGAACTCGAGACCTCACACTAAGCACGGTAACGTCCCTAACATTTATATCTTCTCATTTAAAAGTATGATATATTAAAAACGTTGAAAGAGATTGTTAGGTACCTCTAAGATTTTGATGATGCATAGTTTATAGACAAAAAACACTTGATCATGAACTCTGAAGAAGAAGTGCCAGTAACAAAGAAAAGAATCAGAGGTGGTCAGTAACAGAAACCAAGGTATTCTGATCCCAATAGAATAGATCGAAAAAGTCTGATTGCAACAGAAAGTCTCGAGGTATTTTGTTAGGATCAGAGAACCTCAGCATCAGAGAACCTCAGCATCAGAGAACTTCAGCAACAGAGAACCTCAACACCAACATCAGAGAACCCCAGTAATGACAACAGAGAACCTCAAATGTTGATAACAGAGAACCTCAATATTAAACAACAGAAAACCTCAGAGTTAGACCAGAAAAGCTCGAAACTGCAACAGAGAAGCTAAAGGTATTCTGAATACTTTTTTAGAGAGTCACGGGACTAAATAAACAAGTGAACTGCAGAATAATTCAGAGACAACCCATACTGCTATATACAAGTGGAAATGCAGAATGCTTCAAAGTCAACCCATACTCCTATATGCAAGTGGACTGAAAGATGTTTTGCTTTACAGAGTCAACCCATACGATCACATACAACTGGAAGCATGGACTCAAACAAGAAAACAAAACTAGCAACACAGGCTACTCCAAACAAGACAAAAGGAGGACATACTGAAGATAAAAGATCAAGTGGATGCTTCAACGATCAAGATTGAATCTCCTCAGCCAACAGGAGATATTCAACAAACTCAAAGTCTATAAATAATCAAGGAATGTGATGAAGAAGATTGAGCGAGCTTAAGTGCAAACAAAGCAATCACACTCAGAATATCCTGCAAAAGATAAAGTGTTAATTCATCACTTTACTCTTGGCTCGTTCACATTTCTTTAAGCTCTTAGACTAGTTTACAATGAAATATTCATACTAGAGCTTAGAATAGTTGATGGAAAAGTTGTAACACCTTTGGAAAGAATTTGTGCTGCAAATCCAAAGAGTGGATAGAATAGGACATGAGTAGCTTTTGAATCAGACTGATTCATTAGTGAAAAACCTAGAGGCTAGAGTAACTTGGAGTGGTGTGTACTTCTAGTGAAAACCTGATAGTTTACGCCTGTGATCAAGGGTAAACTAGTCACTAAGTGTATTGGTCAAATAGCTTAGTGGAAATCCATCTATAGGGTGGGACTGGATGTAGGAGGATTATACCACCTTCGAACCAGGATACATCTGTGCGTCATAACGTTTAAAGCCACTAACCATCAAACAAAAAGCCTCAGAAAATTTCCAGAAAACAGTTCCTACTCAAAAGTCAGTCTTTACCAAACTTCGAGTGTGTTTGTCCAAAAAGCCGGTCTTGAGATAGATGATCACGCCGAGGCCGAGGGGCCGGGCATGATGTGAGGACAACGGCGATGAGGAGCCGGTCCTATAATATGATGACGAGGCGCTGATGAAGCTGATCGTCATATAAAGGCGATGGTCACCATCCAGGAAGGGATGGTGAGCCCGATCGCTGGCTCAAGACTCGCGGCGCTGAGGAAGCCGGTCTTGAGATAGATGATCACGCCGAGGCCGAGGGGCCAGTCGTGATGTGAGGACAACGACGATGAGGAGCCGGTCCTAAGATGAGGGACGGCGCTGGGCGCTCGTCTGAGATGAGGGACGGCGCTGGGCGCTCGTCTGAAAATGAGGAACGGCGCTGGGCGCTCGTCTGAGAAATGAGGGACGGCGCTAGGCGCTCGTCTCAGAATGAAGGACGGCGCAGGGCGCTCGTCTAAGATGAGGGACGGCGCTGAGCGCTCGTCTAAGATGAGGGACGGCGCTGGGCGCTCGTCTAAGATGATGGACGGCGCTGGGCGCTCGTCTGAAAATGAGGGACGGCGCTGTGCGCTCGTCTAAAAATGAAGGACGGCGCTGGGCGCTCGTCTGAAAATGAGGGACGGCGCTGGGCGCTCGTCTAAAAAATGAGGGACGGCGCTGGGCGCTCGTCTAAGAATGAAGGACGGCGCTGGGCGCTCGTCTGAAAATGAGGGACGGCGCTGGGCGCTCGTCTACAAATGGAGGACGGCGCTGGGCGCTCGTCTAAGAATGAAGGACGGCGCTCGTCTGAAAATGAGGGACGGCGCTGGGCGCTCGTCTAAGAATGAAGGACGGCACTGAGCGCTCGTCTAAGATGAAGGACGGCGCTGGGCGCTCGTCTAAGATGATGGACGGCGCTGGGCGCTCGTCTGAGATGATGGACGGCGCTGGGCGCTCGTCTAAAAATGAGGGACGGCGCTGAGCGCTCGTCTAAGAATGAAGGACGGCGCTGGGCGCTCGTCTAAGATGAGGGACGGCGCTGGGCGCTCGTCTGAAAATGATGGACGGCGTTGGGCGCTCGTCTAATCCGCATGTATGGTCTTGCTTCGTCCATAATGTGTAGTATTTGCCTGATATGTACTTAGTATTGTTGTGGGCATTTCATTTTTTGTTGCTCGAGGACGGCGAGTGCGCGCGGTCCTCGGCTTCCCTCTTTTATTTTTTCTTTTTCCTTTTCTTTTTTTTATTTCCGTTTCCGTTCCCTATTTCGGGGAGTATCCTTCTTTCAGGCTTCGGCCGAAGGGTGTGCTCGTCCTTCGGCCGGTTCGGACTTCGTTTATAACGTTCGTGATCTCAGGGGGGTCCCATCGCCTATTTATGACACGGGCTAGACTTTTGGTTGGTTTCCAACGGCTGCCGTTGCCCATCCCTGAGTTTTGGGATTTTGTCACCTCGGCCATGATTTCAGGCCTGTCGTCCTGCGATCTGGCGCGTGGACGGCGCGGTAAGCTTCCCGTTTCAAGACGTGGGCCGTTTGCGGGCCCCTCGTCCTGGGGACATCGTCGGCCATACCTAAGCGTTTCACTCTAGGCTTACGGGTCCAGGACGATGTGCTCTCTCAGCTAGGCCTGAGCCCTTCGCTGATACAAAATACAAAGTGGAGCGGACCTGAGCTTTTCGCTCGAAGGTTGCCGATACGACACGTGGTATCTTCTATTTACATTTCCAAAAAATAAGCGGAATACAATAGGTGCGTTGTTCATGGCAACGGCTTTTGGGCGACGCGATTAGCGTCTCGGAGAACGAGGTGTACCGTTTACCGCTCTCGGGTATAATGCCATGTGCGGCCGGTAGCGGCTCTCATTTTTAGATGTCCGAGTCACCAAATAAAGGTGACTAGGGTAGGTCGATGGACCTAAATATAATCCGAATCAACAAATAAAGATGTTCGGTAGACTAGAGCTCGGGTCCACCACTTTGGGGTTTTTTGACCCGGTCTAATGGCATTGATAAAAATAATAATGCCAATAATAAATTTTCATTAGCGACCTCGGGAAATTTTAATCCCTCACAATGATCTTCACCACCTCGGGGGTTTTTAACCCGCCATAATGGTGGTGGAAATAATATAATTAATAATAGTAATAATTATACTACTATCATTTAATAAATATTTTAAGTGTATAAATAGGAATATTGGGCACTTAGCTTTTTTATTTGGACTGTTTGAGATAATGGGCCAGGAGTTGGAGCTTCTTGATGATAGGCTTTGATTAATGGGCCTTGACTAATCTGCCTCACAGCACTTGACCTAGCCCTTTGCCTGCTCTCTTGTTGGCAAGCGGGCAGCCTTGCCTGCGACAGTCGAGACCCCCAAGCAGCGCACAATTGTTGCTGCACTCTGTCCACAGGAGCAGCCAACAGTGAGGATAGCGATGGAGCAGTACCAGCGGCGGCGAAGCTTCCTCCGTTGGAAGCTTGTACCCTCAGGTGGGCCCACGAAAGTGTTTCACAACCGGAAGTGACGTCGCTACGAATCCGACAGCACCAGACAACAGTCTCTGGCTCAGACCTGGGACGGCTGCTTTCGATGCTAGCGTGTGGCCAAGACTAGGACGGCGGTGACCTTTCCGGCGAGGACATCTCCGACGAGGGATCCCAGACGCTTATCGTTGCTTTTTTCATTTTCAGGCTGATTTTTCTCGGCAGGTAAAGCACCAAAGCGAGATGCTTAGATCCAGAGTAGTTATACACAAGGTCAGAATGCAGAGTTCGTGTGGTAGATTCCCGTGACTTCGACACAAGTGTTTTATGTGCAGCTGCCAAAAGGGAAATACGTCTGGAATAAGTGATGCATTTAGTAGTGCTACCTCTGGCTCTAATGTTCCAGCTTGCATATATTCTAGTAGTTCTTTAGAACTGGAAACGTCGGAGAAGAGTGCAATAGAAACAGTGTTTCCACCAACTGCCAATGGTTCCATCGCCGGCTGGATTTTCTTTAGGTGACGGAAACGAATAGCAAATGCATTGTAGAGAATGAATTTTTTTGATGTTTGGGGAGAGGAATCTCACTTGATTGTGTTCAATCTCTCAACGAGAGCACCATTGATGGATTATAGGTATCCAAGTATATATAAAATAGGAGAGATTTGAGCATGTAGAGAGGAAGATGAATGAATAGTGAATTGTGAAATTATGTTCTAGGGTTACAAATGGCTCCAAGAGGAGTATAATTAGGGAAATAATGGGTCGGGCCGCTAATATGGGCCCGGTAGCCCAACTACATAAAAGACTAATCTAGTACATAGTTACATACAAATGACATATAAGCAGTACAATAATACAAATGATATCCGTAAGATGTGTGTGGGCCGCTGTCCGGGCCCAATAGTCGTGAGACCCGGGGGTCCGAGTCTATATACTCTATCAGATAAAAACTTCCGCTGCCAATCCTAAACCTCTCAAAAGGTTCCCAGGATTATACTCATTCAGAGGGGAGTGAACACCTAATTCAAAAAGACTTAAAAGTCTATTCACCCCCCCCCCCTCTACACTTTTATCAAGGACCATCAAGTGGTATCAGAGCGGGTTTTCTTAGAATCAGTTCTTAACTGATTATTTTGAATCACAATCCACAAAAACCTCACAACACACAAAGCCATGCACAGTCATCTAGCTACAAATCTTCTATTCAACTTAGAAAAATTTGATGATTGGAAAATTCGGATGAAAGCTCATCTAAGCGCACTACATGATGAAATGCCGGAGGTCATCCTAACAGGACCCATACATATTATGAAGGTCAACGCACAAAGAGCTGTAACTCAAGATGCAGATGAGTATATTCTAAAACCCAAACTTGAGTGGACGAGTGAAGACAGAAAAAGGAATAACTTGGACAATATTGCCAAGGATATTCTTTTTAAAGCTGTGAGTGAATCCATAATTACTCGAATAAGGAAATGTGAAACAGAAAAAGATGCTTGGGATGAACTTGCCAAAATTGGTGCAGGCGATGAACAGGAGAAAGACAACAAATTGATTATAGCCCTCAAAAGGTTTGAGGATTTCAAGATGCTGCCTCAGGAAACAATGTTGAATCTGGAATCAAGGTTTCTAAAACTCACTGCTGAAATCTCTGACTTGGGAAAGACTCTTACACAAAAAGAGATCTCTCTCAAGGTTCTAAGAGGACTCTTAAGCAAGTGGGACATGAAAGTAACTGCTATGAGAGATAGCAGAGACCTAAGCACCATGACAACTTCAAAGTTGTTCAACGATCTAAAGGCATATGAGTTCGAGATGAAGGAACTCAAGGAGGAAAAAGAAGAACCTAGAACACTGGCTCTAGTAACAGAACCACATAAGTCAAAAAAAACTGGAGGTATTCAGAAAAATCTTCTCTCCGAAGAACATTTTGCCATGTGTTGGATAATCGATACCCATATTGTATGAAAAGGAGATTTGAACAAGAATGTAGTAGATAAATGGAGAAGAAGAAGATAAGTGTATTGAATGTATATTGGTTGCATCTTTTGTGTAGCCTCCTAAAGGAGTATATATAGGGAAAATCCGGGTCTGGGCCTCTAATATGGGCCTGACACACCCGGTTACATAAATGGACTGACAGTACAAAAAACTAATCTAGAACATCTGAATAATAATAATGTACAATAACATGAATGATATCCGCTAAACGTGTGTGGGCCGCTGTCTAGGCCCAGTAGTCGGCAAACCGGGGGGTCGGAGTCCATATATTCCATCAGGAGTCCCCCACTCCCTGAGTCAAGAGTACTCGAGGCGAAAGGGAGTAGTCCAAACTGTATCTGCAACGTTCTTCTGTGTTTGATTTCTTCCTCTCCGGCCGGGGGACCACCACCCTTGTCCATGATGGGGAGGTGCCTCGTTAAAAACCTTTACTAGGAAAAAACCCAGTGGGAAAAAATCCTAATAAAGGGAAAAAGAGTACACCTAGCACCCCTAACATGAAACAAGGAAGGTAAGTTCCCTCAGGCATAATCAATTTTTGTCCAGCTCTGCTCCTCTTCATCCGACTCAGCTTTCGTTCCTACTCATGCGTGATATTTTCTGCTCATCTAGAAACTCTGACCCCTCAGTCCCCCAGTCCTTGAAACGAGTGGAGACGAGGTGAAAATGAGTAAAGTCGTCTTCGTACCTACACATTTAACATGCATAAATTTTTTTCTTGGGGTTTATGTTTCCGATCGGGAGTTCGTCACTTTAAAAAAGTGGAAATGTGAATTGCTAATGTAATGATAAAATACTTAGTAGAGTGGATGTGTGAGCCATTCGTACACAACGGTCGCCACCCTTGGAATGATTAAGACCGGTCTTCATGCCCGACTTGGTCGGGGCTTTGTGCCTGACTTGGTCAGGACTTTAAATCCTAGTGATGGGTCTCAAGTCACAGTCTACTAGGCATTTGATCATAATTGTGTGATAGTGTGATATTTAACCGACAAAAAATATTGATTAAAATAAACATAAATAATACGAGAATTAAAGAGTACTTATCTTTTTTAAGTGGGCTGAAATAATTTGGTGGGCTTCACAGAAATGAACAACATCCAACGATCCCTTGAGCCAATTTTAACTTTCAGAAGCCCATTGACTATTGTGGTCCATTGTACTTCACTCGTAGTAGGCAAGTGGTAGCCACATAACCACGTTATTGCATTCCAAAGTACACAACATCATTGAGTTGTTGCAGTCGGCTCTCCCATCAAGCTAGCAGTTTCGTCCTGGGCCCAAGACACCAGCCTTCCTCTGCGTCTAATCGGTCCACAACTTCTCCATCTCTGACTGCTAACCCCCCTTTCATTCTGGATTTCTGGCCCTTTGTACGTGGTCTGCTTTCTCAGCCGAGCGAGGATCATCCGGTTTTTATATCATGGAGAGCCAGGTGAAACATCCCACCATGGCCAAACTCCCCAGACACAGTCAGGAATGGCCTCCCACTCAACAAATCACAGCCAAAGGCCTCCCAAGCGACGTCCTAAGACGGTTAGAAAGCAATGGTCCATCAGCGATTTCGAGATCGGGAAACCCCTCGAAAGGGAAAGTTCGGTCGGGTCTACTTACCTCGTGAAGTGGAGACGGAGTCCATAGTGGTACTAAAGGTGATTTTTAAAGAGCAAATAGAGAAGTACAGGTTGCATCAACAGCTTAGGAGGGAGATGGAGATACAGAACAGTCTCAGGCATCCAAATATTCTGAGGCTCTATGGGTGGTTTCATGATGATGAGAGGATTTTCCTGATCTTGGAGTATGCTCATGGTGGTGAACTCTACAAGGAACTCCGCAAATCTGGCACATTTTCTGCAGAACAAGCGGCTACCTCTTTTGTAAGCCTTGCGCAAGCACTGGCTTATTGCAACGAGAAAAATGTGATTCACAGGGACATAAAGCCGGAAAACCTCTTACTGGACCATCAGGGATGGTTGAAGATTGGGGACTTTGGGTGGTCAGTGCAATAAAAAAGCAAGAGACACACAATGTGTGGAACGCTGGATTACTTGGCACCAGAAATGGTGGAGAACAAAGCTCATGACTATGCAGTTGATATCTGGACTCTAGACATGCTTAATGATGACTGAAGGCGGCCACAGCTCCAGCTCTGGTGGAGTCCTTCAAAGCTGCGACGACCCTAACTTGGAGCAGCGCTGGCGAGTTTTGCAGCCACGGTTTGCGAGATCTACAGCCATGGTAACAAAATCCGGACTGGGTGGTAGCGAGATTCAGCTGATAGCGTGCAGGCGGTGGCATCTCCGGCTCAGATCTGGAATTTTCAGATTTGAAATTCCATATTTCCCTCTTTTTTGAACTTTCGAGCACAGTTTTGGCTAGTTTTTTTCGTGTTTGGAATGAATTTTTGGTTGTTTGCGGGAGGTTTTCTCACTTGATTGTGTTCAAACCTCTCAACGAGAGCACCATTGTTGGATAATCGATACCCATATTGTATGAAAAGGAGATTTGAACAAGAATGTAGTAGGGGAAATGGAGAAGAAGAAGATAAGTGTATTGAATATATATTGGTTGCATCTGTTGTGTAGCCTCTTAAAGGAGTATATATAGGGAAAATCCGGGTCTGGGCCTCTAATATGGGCCTGACAGACCCGATTACATAAATGGACTGATAGTACAAAAAACTAATCTAGAACATCTGAATAATAATAATAATAATAATAATAATAATAATAATAATAATCATCATAATCATAATCATAATGATGATGATAATGATGATGATGATGATGATGATAATGATGATAATGATAATAATGATAATAATAATAATAATAATAGTAATAATGATAGTAATAGTGATAGTAATAGTGATAGTAATAGTGATAGTAATAGTGATAGTAATAGTGATAGTAATAGTGATAGTAATAATGATGATGATAATGATGATGATAATGATGATGATAATGATGATGATAATGATGATGATAATGATAATAATGATAATAATAATAATAATAATAGTAATAGTAATAATAATAGTAATAGTAATAGTAATAGTAATAATAATAGTAATAATAATAGTAATAATAATAATAATAATAATAATAATAATAATAATAATAACAATAACAATAATAACAATAACAATAACAATAATAACAATAATAATAAGAATAATAATAATAAGAATAATAATAATAATAATAATAATAATAATAATAATAATAATGACGATGAGAAGGAGCCAATCCGAAATATGATGACGAGGCGATGATGAGCCGATCGTCATATAAAGGCGACGGTCACTATCCAGGAAGGGATGGCGAGCCCAATCGCTAGCTCAAGACTCTCGGCGCTGCGGAAGCCGGTCTTGAGATAAATAATCACGCCGAGGCCGAGGGTTCGGTCGTGATGTGATGAAGGGCAAGGCGTTGACGCCGGACTGAACATGAAAGACGGCGGAGCCGATCCAAAGATGAGGGACGGCGTTGGGCGCTCGTCTGAGATGATGGACAGCGCTGGGCACTCGTCTGGGATGATGGATGGCGCTGGGCGCTCATCTGAGATCATGGACGGTGCTGGGCGATCGTCTGAGATAATGGACGGCGCTGGGCGCTCGTCTGAGATGAGGGACGGCGCTGGGCGCTCATCTGAGATAATGGACGGCGTTGGGCACTCATCTGAGATAATGGACGGCGCTGGGCACTCGTCTGAGATAATGGACGGCGCTGGGTGCTCGTCTGAGATGAGGGAATGCACTGGGCGCTCGTCTGAGACAGTGGACGGCACTGGGCGCTCGTCTGGGATAATGGACGGCACTGGGCGCTCGTCTGAGATAATGGACGACGCGGGGCAATCGTCTGAGATAATGGACGGCGTTGGGCGCTCGTCTGAGATAATGGACGGCGCTGGGCGCTCGTCTGAGATAGTGGACGACACTGGGTGCTCGTCTGAGATGAGGGACGGCGCTGGGCGCTCGTCTGAGATAATGGACGGTGTTGGGCGCTCGTCTGAGATGAGGGACGGCGTTGGGCGCTCGTCTGAGATGATGGACGGCGTTGGGCGCTCGTCTGAGATGATGGACGGCGCTGGGCACTCGTCTGAGATAATGGACGGCGCTGGGCGCTCGTCTGAGGGACGGCGATGGGCGCTCGTCTGATATGTATTTAGTCAAATTTTGGGGATTTTATTTTTCATTGCTCGAGGCCGGCGAGTGCACGCTCCTCGGCTTCCCTCTTTTTTTTGTTCCCTATTTCGGGGAGTGTCCTTCTTTCAGGCTTCGGCCGAAGGGGTCGATGGTCCTCCGGCCGGTTTGGACTTCGTTTATAACGTCCATGGTCTCGGGGGGTCCCGTCGCCTATTTATGACGCGGGCTAGACTTTTGGTTGGTTTCCAACGGCTGCTGTTGCCCAACCCCGAGTTTGGGGATTTTGTCGCCTCAGCCATGATTTCAGGCCTGTCGTCCTGCGTTCTGGCGCGTGGACGACGCGGTGAACTTCCCATTTCAAGACGCGGGCCGTTTGCGGGCTCCTCGTCCTGGGGACATCGTCGGCCCTGCCTGAGCGTCTCGCTCTAAGGGGTCGATACGACGTGCTCTCTCAGCCAGGCCTGAGCCCTTTGCTGATACAAAATACAATGGAGCATACCTGAGCCCTTCGCTCTAAGGTTGCTGATACGATACGTGGTATCTTCTATTTACATTTTCAAAAAATAAGCGGAATACAATACGTGCGTTGTTCATGGCAACGGCTTTTGGGCGACGCGATTAGCGTCTCGGAGAACGAGGTGTACCGTTTACCGCTCTCGGGCATAATGACATGTGCGGTCGGTAGCGGCACTCATTTTTAGATGCCCAAGTCACCAAATAAAGGTGGCTAGGGTAGGTCGAGGGACCCAAATATAATTCAAATCATCAAATAAAGATGTTCAGTAGACTAGAGCTCGGGTTCACCGCTCTGGGTTTTTAACCTCTAATGGTGATGATAAAAATAATAATGCAAATAATAATGCATCATTACGACCTCGTTAAATTTTATTCCGCCATAATGGTCTTCACCACCTCGGGGGTTTTTAACCCGCCATAATGGTGGTGGAAATAATATAATTAATAATAGTAATAATTATACTACTATCACTTAATAAATATTTTAAGTGTATAAATAGGAGGAAATTTGGGGTACTTAGCTTCTTATATGGCCTGCTTGGCCAGAAATATGTTGCTGAGATTGAGGCCCACCACCCTTTTTGACCAATTTTGACCTAGCCCCCCTGATAATCTGCTGCAAAAGCTTTCTCCAGATCCCTTCAGCTTCCTATGCGACCCAGACCCCAAGCAGTTAGACGGGAGCAGCACACTAGTTCCATAGACCGGAGCAGCCCAACAATGACGGAGGATGGCGACGGTGGAGCTCAACCAGACTATACCGGCGATGAAGTTTCCTCAGGCGGAGATTAATGTCTTCCTCAGGTGGACCCGACGGCAACACGAATTGGCCGGGAGTAGGCTCACTATAGCTCCGACAGCGCCGACAGATCTTCCTCAGTACTGGCGACGTGTGATACACCCTTCGAGTTGGGTCCGCAGGGGAATTCCAAACTGTTTATTACTGGAGCTCTTAGGGTCCATTAATGGCGGATCTGTGAGGCTTAACTCCAATATCCGAGGCGAGTGAGCTAGAGATGGCAGTCGCCGCCTCGGTTCCGAGCCTCGAGCTACAGCAGCAACCAGCAGGGTGCCAGAGGTTGTTTGTAGTGCATCGATCTCAACCTCACTGCGGGCAGCTGGGTTGGCGCGGATCTGGACGGGAAACTGCAGGTCCATATTCTTCGCTAGGCCTGGGGCAACGGCGGTGCTGGACTTCAGCAAGTGCAGCAGCAGATAGCGTTCTTGACCTTGGCAGAGACGGCGGCTTAGCATTTTTCATTTCCAGATTTTTTTTACTGTTCTTCACATTTTCAGATCCGTTTTTGACTGATTTCTTTTGTAATTTGGTTGAATTCTTGGATTTTTGTTGTTTTTGGGAGGATTTCTCACTTGGTTTTTGCTCAAACTCTCAATGAAAGCACCATTGATGGATTATAGGGGTATCCAAACTATAATAAAATGGAGAGATTTGAGCTAATGTGAGGAAGAAGATGAATGAATAGTAATGTATGAATGAATTGTGAAATTAGGTTTACAAGAACTCCCTAAGGGAGTATATATAGAAGACTATTCGGGTCTGGGCCTCTAATATGGGCCTGACAGACCCAGTTACATAAATGGACTGATAATATAAAAGGCTAATCTAGAACACCTGAATAATTATAATAATGTACAATAATGAAAATGCTATCAGCTGAGTGTACGTGGGCCGCTGTCCGGGCCCAATAGTCGTGAGACCCGGGGGTCCGAGTCTATATACTCCATCAGCTGCTTACAGAATTCAGGCCATTCAAGAATTGCTGGGAATGCAAAAATCTTCTCTACCCATGAAGTATCTGGGTGCCAATCTACATAAAGGAATTAACCAGCAGCAATATTGTCAGAACATCAATCATCAGTTTGATTCTAAATTTACATCTTGGCGGGAAAAAATCTCTCTATGGGGGAGGCTTATATTGATTAAACATGTTCTTGGATCAATTCCTATGCATTTACTTGCTGTGGATACTCTGCCTAAAAAAATTAAGGGTATCCTTGAAAAGAAAATGACTAATTTCCTTTGGGGTTCTTCCAACAATAGACCTAAATAACATTGGGTCAGCTGGACAAAACTTTTTTATCCTAAAGAGGAAGGGGGTCTGGATCTCAGATCTATTTATGTAACATTGTCCCCAATTATATTTACCTTTATGTAAATATGTATTGAACCTTATGAAATGGTTAATGAAATTTTGAAGTTAAAATTTTTTGTTATTACTTGTGCGTGAATAGTAAATTGCACGTGGGGCCCATATCGGGAGCGGGGACCACCCCATATTTCCGAGACCACATATTATATTCATCTTGGTCTAGATAATATGCATATGGTGGTGGATATTTAATTGGGCCAGGGAAAGGGCATAGGGTTGACCGGTTGGTCAACCAAGGTCCAATTCCTGGTATAGCTAATTTATCGGGTAATAGTCCGAAATGGATTTTGGAGACTTCTAAATTAAAGTTTTGGAGTATATATTATGTCAAGGGGCCATCATGATTGAGAGTAAGTAATATATTTTATTTGACCCGATAAAATAGAATATATTTAAAACTATCCGAAAAATACAACTTTCGGGATCGATTGTACACTTTTGGGCAAAAAGGGTTGACCTCCCACATGGGTGGGGGCCAACCCACGAATTTTGTCTTGAAAATGAAGAGGGTTGCCGGCTGGTAGGATAGGAGGGCATGAGAGGGGGATTTTGAAATGAAAGAAATGACATCAAACAAAAATGAGGTGGACCCCATCCACACTCATTTGATCATTAAGACAAAAGAACTATCCTCACGCTTTCTCTCCTTCTTTCCTGCGGACATCACACCCCAAGCCAGAGCTAAAAATTCTCCATCCTTCATTCTCCATTGTTGAAGAGAGCTCAACAAGAAGGAAACTCAAGAAAGGGGGCTAAGGTGCTAAAAGTGAGGAAAAACTAGGTAA